TAAGTTACATTCAATATCAATATGTATCTTCATCTCGAAATGTTATCCAAAACGGTGATGATGAGTTGATAAGACAAGTATCTTGTATCAAAACTCCGAAATACACCTAAAATATAGGGTACTTTGATGTAATTCATGATACACAATATCTAATTTGTAAATGCAGGAATCATTCTTTTTATTTTCTTGAGAAAGAAGGAAAAAGATTAAATGAACATTTTCCCTGAGAATAGTACAGCGAACGTGTCACGAGAGGCAGCACTAGTAGTGGGACAAACATAAACTATTCACATGTAAAACAGTGTCATTTACGTAATATTGATTTATTATTTAAAAATATAAATCTGATATAAAAAATTATTTTGTGATAGTATAATGCCAACAAAGCATTGCTGTTTTGCGAATTGTATGTCGGATAATCGATATCCGGAAGAAAACGTGTTTTTATACCATTTATAAAACCCCATATTAATGAGGTTAGATGTTAGAAATGGATACATGCTTCGAGGAGAGTGGATTTAACAGTACAAAAAATAAATAAATATTTATATGTATGCCCTAAACATGAAATGAATAGTTAATTTTTCGTAGCTAATTACCATTGATTAGAATGAGATATAACCTCAATCGTTTTTTAAATTATTTTCATTTATTATATTTGATTGAATTTACTTCATTACCATCCATATTTGATTCATATTCCACTCGGAAATAAATCTGAAATTCATTATTATTTTAAATTTTTTTATTACAGTTTGAATCTACCGCTACTCTACTACTAAAGTATGTTTACTAACCTGTCTATCAATTCACTTTTTTCCAGTTACTTTTAAATTACCTACATCATGCAAGCCAACGTTTTAATGTTACAACATTGTTATCCTTTACAGTTGCAAATTTTAGTTTTACTCCAGGAACATCTCCTTCTGTTAAAAACATTTTTTTTATTGTACTTTACCATATGTTCATATGGTACTACTAGCGCTGATAGTGAGTAATTTTTCGTACTTCAGGAAAAAGGCTAATTGAAAGGGGTACATTTCCAGGAGTGATAAATTTTGGGGAAACAATGGTACCGGTTTTCTACTTTTTCTTCTTTATATAAGTTTATTTATGAGGTGTCAAATTGTATGTCCTGACAGTTTTTAATCATTCATAAAGGGTAAATCGGATATTCTTCGAGATACCTATTGATCACATACATGTTTGGGCTTTTTCATTGATTCGAAAGCGGTGTATGATGAAAATACTTACTTGCAGCAAATATATATAGAACCTCAGCGTTCTCTTCGAATACATTATTTTTTGAAATCATTTTCAAAATTATTATAATTTACTGCATCTTGATTGCAGGGTGAATACCAATTTTTTACAGGCATCACTATCAGAGCGTCTTAAGAATGTTTCTCCAGTACGCCAATAGAAATTGGAAAATTCAAAATAACTGATAAAACACACTTTGAAAACTGTTATTATGAGATTCTAGAGAGACATATACTAGAGAAAACACTGGTATCTTACTTTCTAACCTTCTAGATATGTTCGAGATTATTTTTCATCCAATCAAAAATGAGTGGAGAACCGAAAATTGTTTCTGTTTGATATTTTAATTAATTTACTTTTATATCAGTCGGTACAAATGCGTTAGTAATATTACAAAAATACTACATTTTACTGAACTGTCAGCCTATAGAGAATCAGTCAAATTTGAAAGTGAATTGACAGATGGTTATGAAGTTACTCCTCATACAAACGTAACTTACCCTTTGAAATATCGTACATTTTCATTTATATAAGATATAACTGTATTGTAGAAACAATTTTCAATAAAAATTCGAATTCTACCTACTAACTGTTTAAGTCAAGGTGTAATCAATTAAATTCAATTTCCATCATTGCTATATTTGATCACCCATTCAATAGACATATTTAACGAATCAATAAAGGCAATTTACCATTTCTAATTGAATGCTCTTTGATTATCAAATCGCACTTGAGGCAATTAGTAAGCGCAGGCAATATTGAACCCGAATTATGATTTAATGGAAACACTTGATCCGTAACCGCCCACGAGCTCATTGTATCCTTTGATCGAAACATCGATGTCAGAATTTTTCATTGGTGAAATTGATTTGAAGATTATTGATATCGTAAAAGTTTGAATTGGTAATGTATTTTGAAGCAGAACTTGCTTTTGAATTTCATCAACACCCTAAACATTTTCCTCTATTGCTGGGAAGTTGAGATACTTATTATTATCACAAAACAGATAAGATAAGATAATCTCAATTTATGTAAACTCAGAGATATTCACGGTTTATGTTTCTATGCGAAACTAGCACCGTGTGTTGAATAAATATGCTACACCGCGATTACTAGAGCAACACTCGGAGGTATATTCACTGTGTATTTTACACTCATAACCTTCAATATATTCACAATGAAAACTAATTTAGATTGCTTGTTACAATAACGAATATTTGACTGTCTCGAACAATCTTAAATTCCTATTCCGTCATCGATGTAACTGATCATCGTTTACCATTGGTCACATTCCCTTCAACTCTTTCAGTTTTTCCAACTTGTCCAACTACTCGTTTGGTTGTGTTGTGTATCAGAAAGTTGCTAGCGATGTGTGCAAACTCTTGGAGGTGCATCATTTTTGGGGTTCAAACTTCGAGTGTCACCGCACTCCTCGTCCAATACTTCAAAAGACTAGAGTACGATCAGAACAGCAAACATATTTGTGGCAGGAACTCTGTTCTTCCTCAACATTTCCGATGATATCTAGATCTGGTATTTTTATTTTTCGCAATGAGCAAAGGATGACATCTTTCCTCATTATTCCCGATCCGCCAGATTTTTGTCGTATTATGGCAAACCAGTATAACCTGATACTGATTTGTTTCTTTTTCTCTTTTTTAATTTCCATAATACGTATGAAAATTAAAAAAATTTGTATACCTATCAAAAAGTGGAACTATTACAAACATATCATTGGCTTCATCACCTCAACAAAAAGATACATTCAGTTGAGTTGAGTTAATGTTCGAACCTTTGATTGCAATCAAAACTGAATTCTAGTGAAGAATGCACTTTTTGTCAACAGATATAAACCCACACATTTCTCGAATGAAGAATTATAGCCACACGAAAATCCAGTCGATTTTTAAAAAATGATGCACCCCCATATTTTTTAGGCCTATGAGGGTTGGCTTAGACAAACCAAGCATGTCGATTAGTAGTCGCGGTCCTTTGAAATGACCTGCTCGTTCACCGGATTTGACTCCAATCAATTGTGCTGCCGTTACCTTGAAACTTTCCAAAATGTTAGAAATCAGTTCAAAAATAGGTCATTTTACTATCAGGGAATTCAAGGAAAACATTTTGAATATCAGTTCAAATGATTTTTTCATGTATAAGATAAATAATATCGAGGTTATTATAAAATACTAATAGCTGATGTTGAAAACTCGCATCTTCGAATACTTGTTCATTTCCTGATTATAACAATACGGACATAATGCATTATTTTTCTAATTTTTTTCAAATTCATCAGCATAAATACTTTCATTGAATGAAATATACATATGTAGTTTTATTAGTTCAAAGAAAATAAAAATAAAAAGTATGAGACATAATTATGATGTTCAATATTCAGCCAAATAACATAAAAATACTTTTTGGTTCATTCGTGAATGAAAGTGTGATTCATCAGCATAAATACTTTCATTGAATGAAATATACATATGTAGTTTTATTAGTTCAAAGAAAATAAAAATAAATAGTATGAGACATAATTATGATGTTCAATATTCAGCCAAATAACATAAAAATACTTTTTGGTTCATTCGTGAATGAAAGTGTGATTTTTTAAATAAACAGATACATGTTTTAGATAATTTTTCGCAAGTTACTCAAAAAGTGAATAGTTTATAATAGAAGCAATTATCAGTGAAAATTCGGCTTATAACAAAACAGAAAAAATGGTTAGTTTATATAGTTAGTATCTTTGGATAAGTTTTTAATTTTTCTTCATTATTTTAGTTATTTTCAGTATCGGATACATCAGTAATAGAAATATATGTTTTTCCGTTAACCAGCTGTCGCACCCCTACTAACGATAACCCCCAGAAACTAGTGCGAGCTAAGGACAAACGAGGTCTTACCTTTCAACGTGTGATTTCTAATACGGGTTGAACGATAGCAAGTGAAAATCGATCGTTCAGCCTGTGGCTTGAACCACCGACTAACTCGAGAAAACTGCACCGATTGTTGTTCTATGTCTTGTGGTAGGCTCTTTTGGTTATTGTTCATTTGTAGTTTTAATTCATCCCGAAGAAAGTACTAAGAGTTGTTCATCTTCGGACGCGAAATTTACATTGAAATCTCCAACGTATGATAGTTTTCTCCTAATTCTTCATAGCCTACTGGTGTGTGCTCGCACCTCTCTTTTTCTTGCCTCTACGGTAATATACGAAACGTAAATTTCTTTTTTTTTTTTATCTTTACTAACCTATACCTCTCAACCGTTTCCTCGCCCGATCAGACTTTTCGTGACTCTCACGTCACGAATTCACCAGCTTACTCCCAAAGTCAAGCGCGCGTAAAAAAGTTTTATTTCAAAAAGAAATGCATAGATCTCTTAGATAGTGGTCTGGTCTAGTTAAACCGAGTAGAGCTGGTTCATTTTTCTTGTTATCGTTGTCATATTCGATGTAACACAAAGTGAGGTTTTGTGAAATAACCAGTAGATATTGCATGTTTGTGAATGTGTGTGTGAAGAGATATTTGCCGTTGTCAGATTTGGATTTGACAAGAATTTTTATTAAACATTCATACATAGTAATTATACTGAAATGCAAATAAACTTTTACCAAATTTCTGATGACTATATAAAATATAATTACTGAATTCGTGATTCAATGTGTTGACACAGTTTTATAACCAGTAACATCCAAAGGAATAATCAAAAATTTCTCACAATGTTTTTTTTTCAGATATTCTGGAATGCAGTACATCTGAGAAACCGTATTTTGTCGTAGCAGTAAGTATTATTTGCCACTATCATATATCTATCTTCAGTAACTGAGTCATTGTGAGAAAAATATTTGCCATTAGATCTTCACAAACATACAAAACATAATTTTTCGTTTATTCGTAACTTTGATACATAAATCATAATAAGAAAAATCTTATTTACTTCGAAAGGGTTATATTTTTAAGAGTGATTCATTTTTTGGGGAAGAAAGTTTTTGGCTCTCTACTACTTCATCTTGATACAAAAAAATATGGGAATTTACCAAAGAAAGGAAGGAAACAATCAATTTTAAAAGTAGTAACTCCATACATAGATGTGTAGATCATGCAAAGAAGTAACTTTCAGACACAAACTGGAAGAAAAAACCCTCAGCTACATTCAAATAAACATTGAGTTACAGGCAAGAAAAATTCTTTGGAAACAAATACCTCCATTTGAACACTGAATTATACAAAAAAACACTTTTTTCTACTCAGTTTGTATTCCAAACATTCGTTGTGGAGTTACATCAGATATCATTCACAGGATTTCTACACAATATACAAATAAGTGAATGAATGTCATTACGATGTCATCGATGATATAAGTAGATCAAACTTATTCCGTGACTTGAAAAATCTTAATTTATGAATGAATTGTGTGGTTTTATCTTAAACGATCAAACTTTGATATCTGTTACTGCCTAGAAGTTTTCCGGATAGCCACCTCACATCAAAAAAAGGAGAAAACCTCCGGTGATCCATTGTTATTTTTGAACAGATTTGATTGTCTGCTTCTGGATCGCAAAATTCGAATTTGATGGCATCTCTATCACCCAGTAAATCAAATAAATTTGTACTGAGATAATGTTCACATTATCGCATTACATAGAATCAAGATAAATTCTGGCACCAGTCGTAAGCCAAAAGTTTCAAGTAGTAACAATATTTTTTTTATTTCTCATTACTGAAAACTTACGAGTCGTACATGAATGTTGCCACTGAAAATTGATGATTAAAGTGTTCACAACTATTTCTCACGATTTGTAACTTACGCTTCAGGACTAAGACGGTTGCATGAATCCACTTTAAAGTACAGTTTCGCGAAGATCGAATCAGTGTTTCCAAAAGAACTCGTGTTTATTTGTACCATTCGGTACAAATTATTTTCGGTTCCAAATATAATAATGTTTGTAATAAACCATGAATTATTCCACTGGCTTTATTGAATATAATCCTTACTTAAATAATCCTTACATTCGGATACATAAATCGTAATTTCTTATAATTGTGTTACTAAGATGACCAATTTATGAAATGTCACTATTCTCGGTGATTTACCGTATAGAGGCAAGAGAACCACTTTCATTTTTGCAATTCCGAAACAGTTGAATGTATATGACTTGCTAATACTGTACTAAATTACTACAGTTTCCAACTGTTGTGATGAAAAATATACATAAATTCGTATTTTCACGCCTTTAGGAAGTGGAACGACTTTATTAGGTGACTAAATAAAATATAACTGAAATATAACAAACATGTGTATAGTATGCATAGACGTGACTTTCAGATACAAAATGGAAGAGGAACCCCTCCTGAAACAACTACTTCCATAATACAATTATTGAATTATTTGTATAATTACTTCTTCAAAAATATTTTTTCCCAAATTTCATTTTCTTCTCACTCCTCATAATTCCTTTGTCATCAGTTTTACAGAAAAAGATTATTTGTATTTGATACGTCGTTCCCTGCCAGAAAAGTTATATCGTAAAAAATGATATTACAAACAAGGAATAATGATTCGTTTTTTTTTGCTTTTTGTATGTTTAAAAAAAATATTTTGATTTTATTGTCAACAATTTCATCCCAGCAATAATAATGTAAGGAAAAGTGAACCGAAGTGGTAGGGTACCAACTTCATGAAATTCAACATTTAATAAAGTTAACGGTTTTTTCTGTTAGAAAAGTTGGCGAAAATGTCTACTTTTGCATGGCTTCCACCACCTCTAACCTTTCTTCTCATATATACATGGTAGCAAATAAGAAAAATAATTTGGAAAACTCAAAAACTGTTGAGCTCTCAGTCCATTTTCCACCCACTGCCCACCGTTTAGATTATTTTTTCAAAAATTTGCAGACAATTTCTTTGTCTCCTTGAGAATTAAGCATTCACTTTCAGTTGGAATAATAGTTTCCATATAAAATGCAACACAAAAATATGAGCGCATTCAAGTATATGACGGGAAACATCCGAATAGTTATTAGACCTTTGAAAGGTTCACAAATATGTTTGTCCGGATATATCGATATCTCCATTCCATCAAAGCTGCCAGTAGATATTGGTTTTCCTTCAGTTTTCTTTTATTTTGTTTTATTCACATTACACTTTTCTCAGGAATCGTAGATGACATGGCAGTTCATATTTGTTTTCCAAATATAAAAATAAGTCAATACGTATTATGGAATACGTATTGTGATCCACTCAAAATCACCAGTTCAACATCTGCTTATACTAAGAATTCATACATACTTTCAAGTTTGAAGAATTGTGTTTGTCAACAATGAAAATAATCACAATAGGGTAATATAGTCCTGTTCAGCGATGGTTAATGACTATCCATGTATCAGGTAACGGAGTAATAAAAGATCAATTGGAAAAGAATGGTTTTGGCTTTTGATTTTTCCATCTTGATGGAGAGAAATGTGGTAATCTTCCAAAGGCAGAAAGCAAGCAAATAATTTCAAATCTTGACAAATATGTGTGTATCATGTATATATGTAACTTTCTGACCCAAACTGGATGAAACAGCTTTTTTTATATCAACATTGAATTTCACAAATGAAAAGATACTTTTATGTGAACATGAAATTATACAAAAATCACTCTTTTCTACCCCGTTTGTACTCAAATCTTCCGTATCTTTTACAGGACATTTCTGAATTCAGCCATTGTAGTTTTTCTTGAATAACTGATAAAGTTATTATTTTATTGCATATTATAAGTGCCATGAATGAATCACAACAAATGCAATAACGCATTTATCGATATGTCAGAAAACCTGTCAGGTTTGACGAAAGTTTGACGAAAATCAAACCTGTCAGGTTTTTGACGAAAGTCAAAGGTTTCGTAAAATTGTAAAATTGTTCAATTTTCAAATGCAAAAAAGTTAGATATGATATGTATTCATGGCGAAACAAGAAGGAGTTCAAGAGAAGCATTGAAAATATACGCTAATCGGTATCCTGACAGAATATTACCGTCAACATGTTTTGTATAAAGATGGAGAAGTAAAATTATCTCAAATATAATCTTCCTCAAATCTCAAATTGAAATCTCTCCTGAAAATGTACCCCTTACTTCATTATTTTCAATATAAAATTGTTCATCCTAACTGGATGAACAAGGTAAAAAAAATACCGGAAAAACAAAATCAAACATGAATTCTCACATATTTCATATATTTAATGAAAAATGGTTCATCCTAACTGGTTGAACAAGTTGAAAAAATTAGGAAGAAAACAAAATAAAATCTGAACTCTCATATATCACAATGTGATTTCATATTTTTCTCAATATAAATCTTTCTCATTACAATCTCTCCCAAAATTATAATCATCATATGTTTTTACATAAGGTATTTGGCTTTTCGGTAGTATTTTTTGTGAGCAGTTCAAAACATAGAAACCATTTCAAATCTGTGACAATTTATTTTCACTAGGAAAAATTTGGACCTCCAGTTCATCAGATATTAGAGTTTAGAAAGATAATTTTAGTATATTATCATCATAAGAATCTAAACATTAGCCATATAATTACAATTTTTTGTTTCTTTGATGAACTTTCTGAAAACTTCTGATATCTTTTATCATGATTCATCTTCAGTGAAGTTACAAGTTTCGAAAAGTATTTACAAAATTTGGAAAAATATAACATTGAAACTTTCAGTAAAGCATTTGGAATAAACCAGAAGAAACCAGTAACAAATACTAATTTTTTTCTCATTGCTTCATCTTTTGGCCACTGAAAAGTAGACAGACAGACAAGTAGAATTTGTAGAAGAAATTTCTCGTTATGGTCAAACCACTACAAAAATTATTCGCCCTGAGAGCGGTGATGTGTGAAATGTATTATATATTGATGAGGTTTTTCGTCTTGTAAAACATTTCTTTGAAGGATCAATAGAAAATCTGTTTGAAGAAATTGAAAACTTCACCTCGAAAAATTACTTCCTAGTATAAACATCTGAAGAACTTGTTTGAACTTGACATTCTCTTTTGTGGAAAATATAATTTTGGTCAAAAAAAGTCATTCAACTGTTGAAGTTCTCTCAAGTTTTATCAAAATGACACCATCAGGAGGTAATCTAAACTTACTCTTTAAATCCATCACATCACCATCCAGCACAAATACAAGTGGTAGCCAAAACCGTCAATTCCAGTTCTGAAAGCCTCATAGACGAAGAAACGAAGGAACTAGAAATGAAAAATATACAAAAGGTTATTCATAAATACAAAAATCATACATTTCACATTGCAAAAAACACCGAAGAAAGAAACTGCTCTACGTCAGAGGAGTTACAGATAAAATAGAAAAAAATCCAAAAAGACACAACATATAAATCTTCAAGAACCATCAGGAATGCCTTGAACAATTCAAAAACAAAATCAACTCACAAAACCAAGACATATATACGATCGCATGCGTTGAATACGTCGCGTCGGCCAGACAAATAGTCAAAAAGTCAGTTTGAAGGAGCTGAGAAAGAAAACGAACAAGCAACATCAGCCTTTTTCAAACATCATCTTGATACGACAGTGTTAACAAGAGAAATGACGCACATCTCAGCTGCATGAGAAACCATCACACCACCCGGAATAATACATACATCATACACCCACATCAACCACCAGAAGGCTTTCTACTTGCAATATTCAATTAATAACCCATTCCAACATAAGCAAATAAAAGGACATAGTCTTAAACCTTTATCTTTGAAATGTTACCGTGGTGATTGAACTTAG